CTGCCACTTCCAAGTAATGGCTGATGTAGCTGGTGAGCCAGTGGCTGACCTATTCGGATTGGGGGGAAAGCACTGAGACTCGGGGAGGGGCACTGAAAGAAGGGAGGTGGCCATGTGACTTCCTAAGGGACCCTGATTACCTCACCCAGAAAAATAACTACAAATAGGGACCAGCCCTGGAAACATGGATGTGGAGATTCGTAGGATTAGAACATGTGTGTAGCCACTAGCCCTGCCCTATGCTCTGCTGGTGCCCAGGTTTCCTTCCAGCTCAAGGGACTCAGTGTTCCACCTGGACCTCAGACTCCACTTCCCATCCACACCTCACAGCCACTGTGGCTCTGCAGGGCGAGGTGACCTCTGGGTGACCGCTGGGGAGTCACAGCCAGCCTGGGCCCTGGCTCACGCCTCTCCCCCTCTTATTACCTCCTTAACCAGAAAGAACTCACGACTACAGTTCAACAAGGTGAAAGTGGAGGACGCAGGGGAGTACGTCTGCGAGGCTGAGAACATCCTGGGGAAGGACACAGTCAGAGGCCGGCTCTACGTCAACAGCGGTAGGTAGTCCGCCCACAAAGGGAGGGTTCCTATAGGGGTTCCAGTTGCCCCCCCCCCCCCAGCCCTGGGGAGGCCGGCACATGATCCATCTTGCACTTGACTCCTCTCCCTCCTGCTGCTGCCATATCAAGCACCGAGATCTGGGCCGATTCAGAGAAATGCAGTCGAAGCATAAATGTTTAGCTTTGTTATCGGGGCCTGGAAGAGCCGCCAGCTCTCATTTTAAATACCCTAAAAACTAAATATTTTGAAATCAAGAGGTGGGGGTGGGGGAAGGATATTTTTAGAAGGCAATTATGGCAGGCTGGGCTGCCAGGACCAGGCTCCGAGGAGAGGCAGGCCCAGGGTGTGTGCGTGCGCGAGCTGACTGCCTGGTGCCTGTTGCTTTGCTGGGCACGTGAGTGCAGGCAGCTGTCTCCACAGGGCCGTGGTGGGAGGCGTGGGTGCCTTTGCCCCTGGGGACAGCCTCTGTTCAGGGATGGCAGGCCCCTGCCCTGCATGTCATTCTCTCCCTTGAAAACTTGTGAGGTCAGAAGCTCAAGATCCCCTTAGCATCCCCTCTCCAGCTTGAGCATGGAGGCTGCCTCCTGCTGGGCTGTCTGTCCTCTGGGGCCCTTGACTGAGGAAGCCACTGGAACTGCCTGTCCTCAGGCTGCACCCCTCTACTCTAGCACACCCCACAGAACTCTTCCTTCTTCCTGACACCCAGGCCCAGCATATCATTTGGCTCCCTGGTTATTTGGGACGGCTTCCCAGTCCTGTTCCTGTCACAGATTCTAATCCTGTATCTCTCCTCGCCTACCTGTACTTCTAACATATAGCCTTTCAGGACTCTAAACCCAGCATGGTCCAAAGAGAGTGGGGACATGGCTGCCTTGGGCCTGCCCTCAGAGGAAAACTTGGCACAGATGCTCTCTGTCCTGTCTTGTGAGGGATCCCCTGCTCTCCCAGCCTCTCAGGCTCCTCCGTCTCCCTTGCCACTGTAATAGATCCTGGTCAGGCTTCTTTCTGGACCTTTCTCACACCTGTCCCTTCTATTCCATCCCCACCTCAGGAGCAGCCTCAGCCCAGGTTTCATCCCTCATCACCTGAACCAGAGCAAAGGCCTCTCATGACGCTTCCATCCTGTCATGCACCCACCCTGGGGCCACAGAACAAATGTTTTGTCCCACAGCCCAGCTCTTGAGGGAAGCCCAAAGGATCTTCCCAGGCCTCACTGCAGCATGTCGCTTGCATCCCATCATTATTTCTCCTCCCGGGTCACCTCTCCCAGGCAGCCTTCCTCCCTGACCACTCCCAGCCTGAGGCCCACTCCTGGGCCACTTCTTGGTCAACCATGGTCTTGTGTAGCTCTTGAATTCCAGCCTTCGAAGGTTCTTCAACTCTCATAGAGTTGCTGAGCTTTCTCTGTGGGTATGACCTCCCCAGGGCAATTGTGAACCAGGAGTGGGGAGAGTGGGATGGTGCCTTCTCCCCAGGAGTTTCAATAATCGCCTCAATTGCTGAGAGCTGCTCTGCACCAGGCTCCCCATTGTCTCTTGAGCCTGTACTCAAGGCCATGAAGTATTTTAATATATATTTTGATTGATTTCAGAGAGGAAGGGAAAGGGAGAAAGAAATAGAAACACCAATGATGAGAGAGAATCATTGATCGACTGCCTCTTGCATGCCCCACCCTGGAGATCAAGCCCGCAACCCAGGCATGTGCCCTGACCAGGAATCGAACCGTGGCCTTCTGGTTTCATAGATCGACACTCAACCACTGAGCCACACCAGCCGGGTGGCACATACTAATTCTTTTAAAAAC